TTGTGATTGCAGATGATGCAATATGAAGGTTTAAGATAACTGTCTGTTGGTTTACAGGGCTCTGTTTGCTTTCACACCAACACAATTATTTTATTAAAAAACAACAACCGGAGGAGAGAGACAAACAGAAAAACACATCAGCACTGAGGGAGATGGGGGAAGGGAAGTTCCCAGGAGGAGGTGGGGTCCCAGGATGGTTAAAGATTTATGTCCAGGGATCATATCCAGCCTTCTCCTTTGGAGTACAGTGCAGTGCAGCGCAGCGGGTACTGTACTTCAGCAGGGCTAAACTGCAGAGGGACTGGTGTTGAGTGTAGTGGGTACTGGGAGTCCGTAGTGCTGGAGTGTGACGGGAGAGGAGTGGAATGCAGTGGGTACAGACTGGAGCCAGGAGGTTGATAAGAGTGTGTTGGAGGTGTCTGGGGGCGCATGGGAAAGTTTTGCGACAGCAGCTGCCGGGGAGGGCGGGTGGGGAACTGCTTGGTTTGCAATACTAGCATCGCCTGGAGCATGTCCGCTTGGTGGTCCATAACGTTTAAGAGCCGCTCTGTGGCTTCATTCTGGCACACTACATTCTCCTTTTGGTCCCTCTTCTCGCGGTCCCGCCACTCCTTCGAATCCTGTTTTTTGGCCGCAGAATGCATCATAATGTCACATAGAAAATCCTCACTTAGTTCTTCGTGGCTGCTTTCTAATTCTGCGCAGCTATTCAGTTGCCAATAACAAAGAGGGAGGCTGGGCTCCCAAGGTCATCTCTGTGGAATATAAATGCAACATTTTACAGAAGCAGTATTGTTTGCAACACACAACACTAATTCAGTGATTTAAAACACAGCTGTCACTAACTGGCTGACCCCAGGCAAGCACACATGAGCCACAAGACCTGCAAAATGGTGAGTAGCTACAGGAGCAGGGTAAATCAGTGTTCCCAGGCACATGGCTCTTGGGGAGAGTCAGCACTGTAGTGGGGGTCTGATACTCATTTTCCCCACATTATCCACAGGCTGTGTTCATTATGGAAGATATCTTGCTGCCGAGGGGGAGCAGGGACTCAAGGGAGGGTCTTCAAGACTCTGTCTTCCACCCTGGCCCTTATGCGGCTCGTCTGTGTGCAGCAATGGTTCCCCTCCAGTGACAGCAGAGTGGCGTGGAAAAGTTACCATTAATGGGGCAAGAAACAAAGCAGCTCTGCCAAAGAACCTGCGGCAGTGGATTGCCCAGTATCTACATGAGGGTTTCCTGGAGAAATCTGAGGGAAATTCCCGTGAAGTGAGAGAGTCAATCAACAGCCTGTTTCGCTGCTCAGACGAGGCATGTGGTGGTACACGCATCATACAGACACAAGCCTGCTTTCTGCAACCCTCCTGTCTCCAAGAACTCTCTTCAGTGATTCCCAAAATCAAATTCACTTACCAGGGGCCTCCTCTCCTGTTTGCGCTTCACCAAGCTCCGACAGCTGTGACTGACTGGCTAGCCTCTGGGGTAAAAAAGAGCTCCTGGCTGCATGCATCTCTGACCTCAGAGTCGTCCTCTGCCTCTGGGTCCCCCTCCCCATCCTCGTCCAAGATTTCCTCCTCCTGGCTCAGTCCACTCTCGGCTGGCATGTGAGCCACCAAAGTATCCATAGTGGCCTTCGTGGTGGAAGTGAGGTCACCACTGAGTATCGCGTCCAGCTCTTTGTAGAACTGGCAGCTCATGGGCACAGCACTGGAGCGGTGGTTTGCCTCCCACGCCTTGTGGTAGGTGTTCCACAGCTCCTTCGCTTTGATCCTGCACTGCAGTGTGTTCCAGTCATGGCCCCTTTATGTCATGCATTGTGAAATCTGTCCTTAGGTATCATAATTCCTATGGCTGGAGCGTAGCTGGGACTGGACAGCCTCTTCTCCCCAAATGTCGATGAGGTCCAACAGCTCAGCGTTGCTCCAAGTGGGGGATCGCCTGGTGCTTGGAGCACTTCCACCTGGAAGGATGTGCTGAGACACTGCACATGTCACCGAGCAAACAGGACTTTCAAAATTCCAAAGGAATATATGGGGTGGGGATGACGGTTGCTCACGTGAAGGCAGGGCAGTAGAGTTCAAACCGATGACCAGAGAGGCAAGAACAGGCATTGTGGGACACCTCCTGGAGGCCAATTGCAGTGCTGTAATCAACCAGGGTGTCTACAACAGCAATGTGGTGCTGTAGCCCCAGTACAGAAAGCTGCATGCCTCTCATCGGGGTGGTTTCTGTGCACTAAGTGGCTTGGCAATGTATACACCTTGGGAGTTAGAATGCAGAAAGCTGCTTTACAGCGCAGAAACTTGCCAGTGTAGACAAGGCCTTAGGCAGTAGTAAAGCAATACCATATTAGGCTTCTCTGGAATGATGAAGACTACAAGGCTAATATTCCCTTTATACAGCAAGTGAAGTTCCTTTCTTTATGACAAGAGAAATCAGTCCCTTGTTTTTTGAGATCTCCCACAGTAGTCTGTGTTATATTCTGGATACAAGATCCAATATGGGAAGACTGAGTTGCTGCCCTTTTGTTATTTCCATAGGGAGGAATTAATCCTGAACATCCCCTGCGCAAAGCCTGAGTCAATGGACATGGAGTTTAGGATCACCCTGCAAACCAATGATCAGGGAAGCTGCATGCATTCTGTGTGGATGTTATTCTAGTACCTGAATTAGAATAGTGGCAGTGTTCCCTTGCACAGGGATCTTTAGCCATTAAACTGTGGACTCAGGGGTCAATGCCTGCACCCCTTCCCCAGCTCTACTGCATGCATGAGGAGAGGAGTCCCTATGCTTGATCACTCCTGTGCTATGTATCCTGTGTATGTTAAAACCTCTGCAGTTCTGTTGTATTGGGGTCACTTTTCAGCTCCTCTACCCAAAAGAAAATCTCACCTCTAAAGAACTGCAAGACTGCTGGCATGTATTTTAAAAGGCTAGTAAAGGCCTTGTTTTATTATTATTTCGGTGAATTCACAGCAATTCTAGAAGTGAATACTCTTGCCACTAGCTCCTCTGGAGCTTAATGAAATGGAGAGGGTTTCCTGTCTCAATGATAGGGAGGACTGATTTAATCAAAATGGTGAATGCAACAGTTTTGATATCCTTTACAACTGTCTCTTGATTATCGAGAGTATTTCTATAAAATAATTTTGCTTCTTCTAATTGTATTTGGTTAAGGGGAAAAATGAGCATTCAGCAAGTTTCCATTACATCAGCTGATGAAACAAGTCTAGTTGTGAAAAGGGACTTTCAGAGGAGCAACTGAGTCTGCTCCATAGAGGGCCCAACATGGATTTGGAGGGATAAAGAAATGAGAAGTGCAGGAGGCCTAGTCAGTCACAGCCAAGGGAAGGCTACAAGTGAGCGATGTGTGAGAGCTTTTGGAGCAAAGACCGCTCGTGGAGTTAGGCCACAAGTTAGTGGTCACTAATAATAAAAGTGAACTAGACTGTATTTCAGGGATTAAAATGCTGGCTGGTAAAGGTGGAAATATGTGCAGATAGTTTTATGACAGGGTATGAGCTGGAAAAGTACTGTTGATCTACTTCCTTGCTGTTAAAATGTGACTACTGATTGGGCTGACGTATATACATCTGAGTTAAGTCAGGGCACTAATATTAGCCCTGAGCTAACTATAGTCTCCAGATACTCAGGAGAATAAGCATAAGTAAAAACAGGATACCTGGGATGTCTAGAAAACCAAGTATATGTGAATAATGCAGATAGTGAATCGTTCATTTGTGTAAAAAAGTTTCCTGTGTTATGCTGGAACAAGAACCTGATTTGTTATCTTAATCTCCAGTATAACTCCTAACGCTTTTTTTTAAAAAAAAAACAAAAAAACACACAACTGTAAATGTTACAGGAACATTTTTTGACAGATGAAGTACCAGTGTTTTAAGGTGGCCGACAAATGTATTTTAAAGTAATAACTGTGAGATTACTGTTAGTGCTGACTTGTAAAAACATCTACAATCTTGTCTATGCTAGACAGGGGTTGCTGGTATTGCTTGCTATATAGGCAAACCATCCTAACGGAGATGCAGTTTATATCAGAAAAAGGGTTCTCTTGCTTATGTCAGTTCCCTGAATTAAATAACGTCTTTTCTGGTTTAATTGTGTCTACACTAGGGCTCTTTCTGGCATAGCTATGTCAGCTAGGGAGGTGATTCTTTTCAACCCATGTTCTTAACTGACATTAGTATGCTGGCAAAACTTAATTATAGTCCAGACCTAAGGTAACAGTAGCTGTAAGCCGCTGGCATTTTTGGCATTTTTTTAGTAACTTAAATAACAAACAAACTTGAACCTGAGCTTGCTCCTGAACGTGGCTGTTTCTAAGGTTGTCCTCTTCAGATTCCTCTGTACCTGTGCCTTTAGTGCTCCTGGGCTGGAGCTAACCCTCTTAGTGTGGCTACCAAATTGACTCAGTAGAATAGCTCAGCTCTCCCCATTCCCAGCACAGCCATACAGAGAGAATCAGAAATTGTCCCTGTATGTGGTAATTCTATAGTACATCTTATTTTTACAGTTGAAGGGTAAAATTCTCAAAAGTGCCTAAGTTGTCTTTCAATGGGACAGCGTATCCTATATAATGAGATGCTTTTGAAAATTTTAGCCAGTGTTCTGATTTCTGAGCACTGCAGCTGACTGGCTTCTACCTCTACTTTTTTGAAAACTGGCAATGTAAAGTGAGTTATACCTTAATGTGTTATACTCTCTGATTCTGGATATGCTTTTAGTTGTTATAGGAAACTGTGGGTCACAACGAGCTTTTGTAAAGTAACTACAGCTGACAAAACTGAAAAAGGCATTCCAGAGAACTACAAATTAGAAAATAAAATATTAAGAGCAAAAGGGTCGATTAATTTTGCTGAATAATCATGCGTATCTAATGTATAATTCATTACATAATTTTAAATTCAAATAATTAGTATATGATTACCTGAAAATAAATTTCTACTTGATTGACTAGCTTCAGTACTCTGAAGCACTTTTACCTGCAAAGGAAGTAGAATGCTCCAATTACAAGAATTCCTAGAACAACAACTGAAGTCAAGAAAGCTGCAAACAGTTCACTTTTAATTTGGGTCTTGAGACTAGGTAGCAAAACTTCTTCACAACGGGCTCCTGTATAGTTCTCAATACACCTGTGAAACCAAGTTTTATATAAATTAGATTTTTTGGCAGGAGGGGGATCATTTTCTGACACAGTACAATTAATTTATATTCATTTCTATAGTGCATATTCATATAAATCCCATTTATAGAATGATGGAAATTTCTGACATAATCCCCTTTGATTTTTGTAACATCACTGGAATGGGATAAAGAAGCATCATTCTCCCCTAAAGTACACTTAAATTATCTCTTTACTATATATGCATTGTGAATCCAGTAGCTACATTATACTCTCCTGCAGACAAACCTGTGGAAGGGGCAGTTTACTTGGAAAAAAACAGTAAGTTGCAGTTCAGTTCCCAGCACATCATCTTAGTGGAGGGCATTAAGTTTTCCTTGCCACATAGGGAGAGGAGAGTGTGGCCTTCCAAATGTACAGAAATAAAATCAGTGGAGAGGAATCATGCTGCCTGTGCCTCTCTCCCTGTACCTTTTGTAGATTTACCTTTTTCTCTCCGTCCAAGAGCTGCTACTGTTATGACCGATCGAGGAAATGTGCATTCATTGCGACATGGGACGTGAAAAACACTTGACAAATTGCAATGATAGTTACATTTGTAGTATATACAGTGAAATAACAGGCATACCAAAACACATTATATGTTTTTAAAAAGCAGTTGCGCTCACAGAGGCACCTAGTTAAAAGGCTTAACTGCTACTGCTACCTTGTGTCAGGCTGGTCAAAACCTTTTCCAAAACTAAGGAGAGGTAACTTCTTTGGCGATCACTGTAGCTTCTGACACAATGTAACAAAATTCCTGCTGTTTAAGTGTATATTAGTGTCAGAAATCAGTGCCTGTACCAGATCTAGTCTAGAAGCAGGGCCTTCAGCAGAGCCAGGCTCTGGCAACCTAACAGTCTGGTATGTAGTAGGCTGCTTGATTGACTGAAAGAGTCTTCAGACATGCAACAGCTCCAGTTCAGTGGCTGATCAAAGCATTTGCCCACAGCTGCTCTCGCCTTGCCTCACTCCAAGGTCACCCGGTCCCGTCTCTCTGTTCCAATTCCTGACTGTCGCTGACCTTTGGCTTGGTGCCTGGCCTCAGACTCCAGCTCTGATGCTTGGCTCAGTTTCCTTGCTGTTGATTCCTGCTCTGACCACTGGGCATGACCACCCCATGTCCTGGTCACCAACAATTACAAGCAGTGCTAAAATGTGTGCTAAAGGGGTATACCTCACTGAGCTATATGCACACAGCCAGGTAAGCTAAGCACCACTTTACACATTTGATTTTCCAACCTGCCAATCATTTTACCAAACTACAAACCAGAAGGGTGACTCTCATGAATGTTGTATCTATCATGACATCCTGAGATGGACTATGTTACTTCAAGTTTTACAGTAATGAAGAATAGAGGAAGTATTTATAAGGATTTGCAGGAGCTCCTACAACTAACCCAATAGGCTCGCCTTGAAGATCTGTCCAATATCTGTCCTGGCTGTTTGGGTGCAGTACTGAGTTCTAGATTTTTAGCCTCCATAAGTAGAACACTGCTTTGTGATTTTTGGCATGGTGCTTTGTGACTAATAGCTCAAGAAATTCCATCATCCGCAGTAAATGCTGTACAAAGGGCCAAATTGTGGCTTCACTGTACAAAGAGGCTGCATATTGGCAGTAACACTTGGGTTTTAGGAGGGGTTTTTCTGAAGCAGACAGGGCCTGATCATCCACTACCTTGTACTTTATGTAGTCATTTACCCCTGTGAAAAGTTACCCTCCCCGTTTCAGAGAGGTGTAAATGGCTACACAAGATCAAAGGTAACAGCTAATCAGGTTTCTAACACCAGGATTATTTGGGGAGGCACAGTGTAATCCAAAATCTATTGTTCTGTGATACAGGTGTATACGTCATTAAGTCTATAGCGTCTCAGGCCAAAATCCCCTCATCTGAACACTTCTCCCAAGACGCAAACCATCTACCTACTAATCCAAGATGACAAAATATACTCCACATGTATGAACTAGTGCACCACAAAGGATCTTTTTTTAAAGTGCTTTTAAAAAAAGCACTCTGAGGAAAATGAAGAAAGGTCTGAAATTTTCCTCATTTAATTTAAAAATGGTCACATTTTTTTCTTTCAGATTTTGTACTCAAAATTTACACTTTTCAGAACCAAAGCAAATTTTTACTTCAGAAATAGTGAACACTTGAGTTAGAGCAGCATGAACCTGTATAGCTGTAGTTAATACTCTCATTATGCTTAAATCAGACATAGAATTCATGCTACTCTATCAGTGAATCGGCTTGAGTTTGACCTCTCTTTTAGGTCAGTGATATGATTCATATGCCATATACAGTTATGCTTATTGTAGAAAGTAGTAATGACTTTACATGTGATCACCATCATTGTTGTTTATTTAAATGGAAATAGGCTTTTAGGGAAAAATATTGATTTTATATATACTGTTTAAAAATTGTGAATGTATCACTGAAGAATTACTAACCAAAAACATCACTCTGGAAAATTCAAATTAGACTTGGCAGATCACCTTTTACATGTTCCTGTTTGCTATCATTCGAATCAGGATTTTTTACACTTCATAAAGAGTCAGTATATTATCATCTTGGCTATGATGACAGTGCAGTGCAAAAAAAAGACAGTGGCCAAATTCTGTTCTTAATGATACCATTGTCAATCTGGGTAAATCAAGTGAAGTCAATGAAGTTATGTTACATTTACACTAGTGTAACTGAAAGAAGAACTTGGCTTGCTTTTTATACAACTGTAGTCCAGGATTCAGTTTTGCTAGGTTATAGCCAAATATATGGGCCAAATTATGTAAATATGTTGTATAGCTACAAAAATGGTTGCATATTAATGTTGGAAGGGCTGAGTTTGCATCCCTGTTTTGGCAGACTTTGGCCCTATATACAACTTCACTTGTCATATTGTCTCTGATTAGAACAGAAATAATCTGGGGGGAAAGTGCACAGGTGGAATTATGACATCAATAAGCACATGTGCAGAAACGTATAGATCACAGTTCTTGACCCTTTGGCCCAATCTCAGAATGTTCCTTGTTGCTCCGGTCAGTGAGTTCTGCAGAGAGACAAATTCAAGGCAGAAAATTTCACTCCCACTTCTCCCTCCCACACTGCCCTGTTGTACACAGGTTTCTTGACAGGCACCAGTGTGCAATCCCCTGCTAGCATTTGACCCATAAACTTATGTTACTGTGAAAAAGTTTGTATACAACATTTCATAACTGTTAATTGGATTTAGAACTAAATTACCCATTGACTGAATGTTGTTCAGTTGGTACTGGTGATATTATAACCAGTCTAACTTAATGGTCTGTTCATAATTCATACCGTGTAAAAGTCAAAGAAATATATAGGCTGAGGCTACAATACTTATTTACGGACATTTCTTATCTAAAGTTCTTTTAAAGACTGGCTGACTGCACCATATAAAACTGGAAAGCATTTTATTCATTAACCATACTGTTTATATCAGCTAATTTCTGTATCTCCTTTCCCCATTTTTCATTACTAGGGACTTTTGAAGGAAAACAGGATCTTTGTAGTTTAGGAGTACATCTGTTCCTGCTTCTTACTCTTGACTTTGAAGGTACAATCCTTTGTGACATTACAATAGATTGCTATAGCTGCTATTGTAATGACACACAGGATTATTGGCTGAATTCTGTAAGGTGCCACTGGCTGTTGAGGGTGTTCAGTGCCTTGCATGACTGGGCTCATAATCGTACATCTCTACAACAATATACTGTAACATCACAAGGACTGAGACTTTGTCAAGAAAAAGAAGTTGGAGTTGACTATCCAACAGAGGACAATTCTAGAATATCTGTAGTCAATTGCACAAAGAAATCTTCCTGATTTCCCAATTCCTCTGGCACACAGAGATTATAATCTCAGTTTGTTGTCCAAATGTTTTCTCTCATTTTCAGTCATCAAATACCAATAATGACTAAATGAACACCATTTTCTTTAAGTCCATTGCCTGAGACCTGATCTTCTCAAATTTACAATCCATGCAGAAACTTGATTCCTGAGAGCTCCCTAGACCCTGCTTAATCAGCTGATAACTGTGAGATAACATTTCAGAAATTCTCTGTAGATTTTCATATAATGCAAATTATTTGCATAGTGTCCTTCATAAAGGTATCACAAAATGTTTCATATTGAGAAATACAACAGAAATATAGCTTTAAAGAACAATTTGTCTCATTCAAATAGAAATGGGAAACGATGTACAGAGCTGCAGAGAAAAACAAGCACAGAAAAACAATGTATATGCATTTTTCCTGCATTTAACTATTATTGAATACTGGTGACAGGAAGAATGGAAGCATACAGTGTTAGGAAAGGGAAAGGTGAATAGGTTTCAGCATCACATAAAGAAGAGTTTTAAGGCAAGAGTAGAAGAGGAAGTGAGTGAGTGACTTAGAGAGAGTGAAACAAAATGGGTCAGGAGACGTGAGAGAGACACTGTCGTGAAAAATCACAGAGAAGGGTCTGGGGGAAAAGCAAAGGTTAGAAAAGTAGAGTCATCAGAGTAGACAGATTGGGTGGGATGAGATGAGTAGTCAAAGAATATTTTAAAAATAGGAGGAAAACTTAGAATGTGATTGTCAAGGCTGAATCCCCATTCTGTCACTCTGAGTGCAGAAAGTGGGGGCCCGCAAGGATTTTAATACTTGCCATTCCAGGCTTGTATTAAACTCCCAAGGTTACAGCTTTTCTCTGACCTTGGCTTGGTAAACGCTGCCACCACCCAAATGCAAAAAAACACCCTTTAAACCCAGGAAGGAGCACTTGGGAATTCCTCCCTGTGGGGTACCCTTAAGCCCTTTCATACACGCACACCCCGGGGGAAGAGCTGAAAAAGAAAACAAAGGAAATTAGCTGTGGCTATCAGTTAATCAAACAACATGCACAAATCTCTTACGACACCAAAAATCCAATCCTGTTCTTAAAAAAGGTAAATTTTATTAAAAACAAA